CCATCATGCCCATCTAATTTTTGTACTTTTAATAGAGATGGGGTTTCTCCACGTTGAACCAGCTGGTCTCAAAATCCCGATCTCAGGTGATCTGCCTGCCTTGGCTTCCCAAAGTGCTGGGATTACAGGCGTGAGCCACTGAGCCTGGCCTAAATTTTTATTTATTTATTATTTTAAAATTTATTTATTTTTGAGACAGAGTCTCACTGTTGCCCAGGCTGGAGTGCAGTGGCGGGATCTCGGCTCACTGCAACCTCCACCCCCCGGGTTCAAGCGATTCTCCCACCTCAGCCTCCCGAGTAGCTGGGACTACAGGCATGCGCCACCATGCCCAGCTATTTTTTGTATATTTAGTAGACGGGGTTTCACCACGGTGGCAAAGCTGGTCTGAAACTCCTGACGACAGGTGATTCACCCGCCTCAGCCTCCCAAATTGCTGGGACTACAGGCGTGAGCCACTGCGCCTGGCCAAGTTTAACTTCTTCAGAAAGTGCTAAATGCAAGTGCTTGTATCGATTTTCACTCCCAGCAGCAGCTGGCGAGAGTTCCGGTTGCTCCACATCCTTGCCAACACTTGTCAGTGTCAGTCCTCTTAAATTTAGGCACTGTAGTGGGTGTGTGATGAGCCGGGTCTCACTGTGGATTTCTCACTGGGTCGAATCCGCATTTCCTTAATGAGTCATGTTGAGTGGGCGTGTGATGGGCAGCGTCTCGTTTTGGATCTCATTTGCATTTGATGAGTCATGATGATGAGCACTTTTTCACATGCGGGCTGATCATGTGGTGCGTGTTTTATGAGACGGGGTTTTCACCCAGGACGTGGTCACAGCACGCTGTGGCCTCAAACTGGCCCCAAGCTCTTTTCCCACAGCAGCCTCCCAAGTAGATGGGACTACGGGCCTGCACCACCACGCCTGGTTAGTTTTAATTTTTTTTGCAGAGATGGGGTCCCACCGTGTCACCCAGGTTGGAGTGCAGTGGCATGGTCGTAGCTAACGGCAGCCTCAAACTCCTGGGCTCAAGTGATCCTCCCACCTCAGCCTCCTAAAGTGCTGGGATAACAGGCGTGCAGCATCTCACCTGGCTTTTGTATCTTTTTGTGTGTGTGATGTACTGTTTAAATCTTTTGCCCATTTTTAGGTAACAGCCTTACCGAGATATAATCCACATGCCATACAGCTCACCCATGTAAAGTACCCTTGAGGCCCAGCGTGGTGGCTCACATCTGTAACCCCAACACTTTGGGAGGCTGAGGTGGGTGGGTCACAAGGTCAGGAGTTTGAGACCAGCCTGGCCAACACGGTGAAACCCTGTCTCTACTAAAAATACAAAAATTAGCCGGGCATGGTGTGCGCCTGTAATCCCAGCTACCTAGGAGGCTGAGGTGGGAGGATCACTTGAACCCTGAAGGTGGAGGTTGCAGTGAGGGGAAGTCATACCACTGCACTCCAGCCTGGGTGACAGAGCCAGACTCATCTCCAAAAAGAAAAGAAACTACATAGTCAGCCCCCTTCCTGGTCTCCCTCTCCCGGTCCTACGAAACCACTCATCCACTTTCTGTCTCTCTCAGTTCACCTGTTCTGGACGTTTCTTCAGAAGGGACTCATACAACATGCCGCCTTTGTGCCTGGCCTTTTCACTTCGAGCGGTGTTTTCCAGGCTCAGCCACGGGGCAGCAGATTGTCTGTCTGATCACTGGACCACACATGTTCCCCGTAGATTCTGGGCATGTGTGGTGTTCTGTGGCTTGGCCGTTCATGGCTCCTGCTTTCCCTCTTCCGTCTGACCGGCCTCTGCCTACCCCAAGCCCACAAACACTGTCTCCTGAATTTTCTTCTAAACGTTTCATGGTTTACGCTTTTATACTCAGGTCTGTGATTTGCTTTCAGTAAATTCTGCCTCCGATCGCTCTCTTTCTTTCGTTCTTCCGTCTTTTCCTGTTGGAGTCTCGTTCTGTTGCCCAGGTTAGAGTGCAATGGCTCGATCTCGGCTCACTGCAACCTCCGCCTCCCAGACTCAAGCGATTCTCCTGCCTCAGCCTCCCGAGTGGCTGGGACTACAGGCACCCACCACCATGCCTGGCTAATTTTTGTATTTTTAGTAGAGGTGGGTTTTCACCATGTTGGTCAGGCTGGTCTCGAACTTCTGACCTTGTGATCTGCCTGCCTTGGCCTCCCAAAGTGCTTGGATTACTGGCATGAGCCAATGTGCCCAGCCATTCTCCTCTCTCTTTCTTTCATTCTTTCCGAGACAGGGTCTCACTCTGTTGCCCAGGCTGGAGTACAGGGGCAGGATCTTGGCTCACTGCAGCCTCAACCTCCTGGGCTCAAGCAGTCCTCCCACCTCAGCCTAAGTAGCTGGGACTACAGGTGTGCACTACGACACCCAGCTGGTTTTTCTATTTTTTGTAGACTCAGGGTCGTGCCATGTTGCCCAGGCTGGGTCGAACTCCTGGGCTCAACTGATCCTCCGTCTTCAGCCTCCCAAAGTGCTGGGATTAGAGACCTAAGCCACAGCACCCGGCCAGACATTCATTTTTTGCTAGCATCATTTTTCATCAATCCATCTCCCTTATTGTCAATTTGCCATCTACCCGTGGGTCTGTTTCTAGATTCTCTATTCTGTTTCATTAACCTACATTTCTTTCTTTTGTCGGTGGAGTGCAATGGCACAATCTTGGTTCACTGCAACCTTCGCTTCCCAGGGTCAAGCGATTCTCCTGCCTCAGCCTTCCAAATAGCTGGGATTACAGGCGCCCACCACCAAGCCCAGCTAATTTTTTTGTATTTTTAGTATAGACAGGGTTTCACCATGTTGGCCAGGCTGGTCTCAAACTCCTGACCTCAGACGGCCTGCCTGTCTCGGCCTACCAAAGTGCTGGGATTACAGGCTTGAGCCACCGCGCCTGGCCCCTATGTACGTTTTTAAATCATCTCATCAACTTCTTTCGAAAAGGCCGCTGGGATTGACTCCATCCCTGGGTCAGTGTGGGGGGATCTGGAGCCTTCACATTTGCCTTCCTGTTCCCGAGTGGGGCCTTGTCCTCCACCGACTCATGCCTGCCCTGTTTTCTCTCGGCAGCTCTGTATCTTCACTGAGAAAGTCTCGAACATGTTTTATTTCTAAGGATTTTATTTTTTGAGCGATTGCAACTGGATTTTAAAATTTTACTTTGTTTTCTTGCTGCTAGTATATAAAGACATTTATTTTTCAGGTAGTTACCTTGTAGTCGGTGACCTTGGCAAACTCGCCAGCAGTTCTAATATTTATGAACGTTATGTGTGAATGATCATGCCATCTGCAAATAAACAGAGTTTGGCGTCTTCCTTTCTGATGCTCCTTGTTTCTTATATTTTTCTTGTCTTATTGGAATGAATGCCAGTGACCATCAGTACAATTTTTTATTTTTTAATTTTTTTAGAGCTGGAGTCTCGCTCTGTCACCCAGGCTGGAGGGCAGCGGTGCCATGTCGGCTCACTGGAACCTGTGCCTCCTGGGTTCAAGTGATTCTCCTGCCTCAGCCTCTTGAGTAGCTGGGACTACAGGCATGTGCCACCACACCTACTAATTTTTTGTCTTTTTAGTAGAGACGGGTTTCACCTTGTTGGCTAGGATGGTCTCGATCTTCTGACCTCATGATCTGTCCACCTCAGCCTCCCAACGTGCTGGGATTACAGGCGTGAGCCACGGCATATGGCCTCATTTTTAAGTTCTTGATAGAGATAGTCTCACTATGTTGCCCAGGCTGGTCTCAAACTTGTGGCCTCCCATGGTGCTAGTCGAAGGCTGAGTCCAGGCTGGCCACAGCACGTTTTCTTCATTGTTGGCAGCTGATTCTGCTGGTTCAGGGCTCAGCTAGGCACGTGGACTCCTCCACGGCTCCTGTTCAGTGCTCAGCTGGGTCTGTGGCCCCTTCTTGTCTCCTCCGGTTCAGGCCTCTCCTTGAGCTCCGGGCCCTGGGAATTCTGGGCTCCGTCCCTGATTTCCTTTAGCTGGGAAAGTGGTGGGTTTCGTGGGAGTCCGGGCCGCTTCACAGCACTGCGGCAGACCTGCGGCTTCTCCAGGGCAAAGCTTCGTGGACACGAAGGGGATGCCCCTCCCAGCTGGTCCCCCCCTTTACCTGTCAGTCCCCTCCCCAGAACCCTTGGGTAACTGGTTTTCTACAGTTTGTTCCGGAATTTTTCAGCTGTTTTCTATAGGAGGGATTTTTTAAAAGGCCCTTCACCCCCTCTGGACATTTGTAAGTTGACACTGAACACCTGGCAGCCTTGCTGAATTCTGTGTGCGTGAGGGCTGGGTTCCACGGAGAACCATCATAGAAAACTCACTCCACGGAAAAGGATCAGAGACGACCCCTGAGCACACTCCCTTCAGCAAACAGAAACCTTCGCAGGTGTTAATAGCCAGGCGCGTTCCCAACTGGGAACAGGAGCTCACGGCATTCTGGGAGGGGCTTCAGGGGCAGGGAGGGGCTTCTGGCTTCAAGGCTACCCACCCAGGCTGTGGTCCCAGGTCAGGGGGAGCAGCTCTTCCCCAGCAACCTGCAGCCAGCCTGGACTGGAGGGGAAAACGGCCCCACTTCACCAGGCCAGCGAGTGCCTGGGGGCAGGTCCGTTCCAGTTCCCCCGGGGGAAGGGGTAGGCGTGTACCTGGAGCTGGCCCTGGCCCTGGGTGGGAGCTGCCTCCCTGACCTGTGTCCTCAGCCCCGAGAGGGATGGCTCACAGCCTTGCGAGGTCCACACTGCACTGCCCTGGGTCAGGAACATGCTCCCAGGAGTCCTGTCTGGACTGTGTGGCCGCCGTCCTGAGCATGCTGACCTGGGACTGCCACCCCTCCCCCTCTGCCCCCGGTTTCACCACCCAAAAATCCAGAGAGGCGTGAAGCGTGGGCCCGGGGCCCCCACCCATGCCCACCGAGGGCAGCTTTGCCTTCCCGGCACCCCTTCTCCCCCAGGTGGGGGGCCTGGCCCACGCCCATCTGTGGCTCCTGCTCGGGGTCCCCACCCACACATTCCTGTGGGGTGAGGTGCAGCCGCCGCTCCCATCTGCCCGGGGCAAAGCCGTCATTTGTTCCCCTTGAGGGCCTGGGAGGCTGCCAGGCTCTCCACACCCACTTCCCAGTTGAGGAAACCGAGGCAGAGGAGGCTCAGGTGTGGCCAATCACCGTGCCGATCAGCGTTGCCCCGGTCAGGGCCCACGGAGACTCTGGGAGGGGCCGCTTGGGCGTGACGGGATTCCCTCCCTACCCAGCTGCGCAGAAGCCCTCGGAGGCCTGGGGGGGCTGGGCTCCCCCTTTCCCACTGCCCTTTGGAGAACCACGTGGGCACTGGCCGGAGACCTGAAGGGGCCGTCCTGTTCGCCGTGGGTGCCACCAGTGCCACGCTCTACCGTCTCTGCCTGGCTGGCCACTCCCACCTGCTGCGACTCGGACAGACAGCTGTGCACAGACCCACTGTGCCTCCTGCCCTGGGATCTGTAAGTAACAGCCTTGGAGCTTTTCCTGCTGTGGTGTGGGTGGAATCCTCGCCTGGAGGATTCCTCATCTGGAGAACCAGGGCTGCCCCAGGCCAGGCTGTCGGCATGGAGCGATGGTCAGGCTTCAGCGGGACCCGATTTTACCCTGCAGGGCGCTCTCGGAATCCTTGGTTTGGAAGCCGCTCCCCCAAGGCCCCAGCCCCCCTGCAGGTGTGAAGGACTCGGATTCCAGAGCCCCCAGAGGCCCCACAGAGCAGGAAGGGCCAGGCTCCAGGGGAGCCCCCACCCCAGGTGCTGAGGTCCTTGGGTCACCTGGGGTTGGGCTGGGGTGTGCCCAGGTCTCTTGTGATCTGATGGGCACATTTCCTGCCTGGCCTCATGCACCCCAAGAGCTGAGGGTCCCACCCTACCGCTCATTTTCTGGCTGGGGGAGTCTGGTTTTCTTTCACCTTGTCAAGGTGTTCATCCTCAGGGCCTCCCCCACTTCCTCTGGGACCTGTGGGGAATAGAGGCTTGGGGGCCCTGTGGCTCCCCATGACATTCCCCAGTGGCTGGGCTGACCAGGCGGGCTCTGCCCATGGACAGAGCAGCTGAGCGTGAGCATGTTACCCCATTTCTGAGCTGTGGGTGGACCCACAGGCCCGGGCCAGGGTTTTTGGGAGGCAGCTCTAATTTTCCCCAGCCACGCTGGCCTCCCTGAAAGGGGTGCGTGTCGAAGCTGGTTCCCTCTCCTGTGGGCCCCACCGCTACCCCAGGAGGACAGTTCTTGTCCAGGGAGGGTCTCCCCAGCCCCTTCCCTGCCCCACACTGGCCCACAGACCCCACCCTAGAGAGGACAAGGGATCCCCAGGCTGATCACATGCCCAGCCCCCCTCACCCGGGCTGCACCTCAGAGAGGCCGGGAGGGGGGCCCCACTGCTGGCAGGTGGGAAGGTGTGGTGTCCTCTGTCCCCACAGTGCCCCTCCTGCCTCAAGGGTGGTGTTTGCCTAGCAGGGCTCTGGGCATTCACAAAGCCCAGGCACCTGAAGCCGAGGGCAGGGGAGAGGGGAAGGAGGGGAGGGAGGGGAGGGAGGGGAGGGAGCCTCGTCCAGGCAAGGGCGTCACTGAGTACAACCCACACCTGCGATTTCCTCTTCATGAGTGAGGAGGCTGATGCCAGCCTCTGGCTGCTCGCTCTAATCTCTCCCCACCCTGCTCTGCCCTTCTGGGAGAGGGGATGGGTGTCAACTGAGGCCTGGGCTGTCTGGGCTGGGGACCAGGCTCTTAGACCCAGCCCTCCCCCAGGCAGGAGGAGCCAATCAGGGCGGGGGCAGAGGGCTCTGCGGCTGGAGGGCAGGGCCAGGGCTTGGACACAAACTGCAGGTGCCATGGAGGTTTGCCCTGGGAGCCCCTGCTGGGCCCACATGGCCCCAGGCTGGCCTGGGACAGAGGCATGGGGTGGGGACAGGCGGTGGGTGTCCTGTCCTGAGCCACTGCCTTCCACAGACACAGTCCATGGCCTTGCCAACGGCTCGACCCCTGTGGAGGTCCTGTGGGAGCCCTGCCCTTGGCAGCCTGCTGCTCCTGCTCCTCAGCCTCGGTGGGTATTTGGCGGCACTGCTGGTGAACCGGGGGCCCTCGGCAAGGCTTGCCTGCCCCACCTTCTCCCTGAGGTGGGCAGGTGTCCTGAGTCCCAGCAGCTGTCTCTCCCCCAGTGGGGCTCAGGCCGCAGTGGGGATGTCGGGATGGACATCTGACCGGACAGCAGCCGGGTCCCAGGGGAGATGTGGAAGGCCGGGCTCCTGTGCCTGGGGACTGAAGTCCAGGGGCCTGAGCAGCTGGCCTCCACTGCTTTGGGGCATGCACAGGGCTGGCTCTGGGAGTGGCCGGGCTCTGCCTCCTTCCTCCCTTGGGTCGGGCACACCCCAGAGGCCCAGGCCCCCCTCCAAACTGTCCCCACTGCTCCTTCAGGATGGGTGCAGTGCTCGAAGGCTTGGGCCGGAGAGACAGGGCGGGTAAGATCACCTCTGGGGACATGGGACGGTCTTCAGGTTCCGGGGGGGTGCCTTGTGGTGTTCTGTCACCTCTGGGGACACAGGGAGGGTCTCAGGTCCCGGGGGGTGCCTTGCTGTGTTCTGTCTGTCATGCACACGGGAACTAGTATCCACGGTGCCTGCCCATCTCAGAGGTCCCAACTTGCAAAGGGGCGCCTGGACCTGCACATGACTGGCCTGGGAGCAGCCCGGCCCGGGGAGTAGCAGAGCCCACATTGCAGCTGGGCGGAGGAAGTAGCTGGATCAGAAGTAGCCAATAGCCAAGCCCATGGGTCCGAGACACGCTGGGCCTGGGAAGTAGCTAAATTTAGGGAGTGCCTGGGACCAGGGGTGCGGGAGCCTGGGAACGTCTGCTCCAGGGAGCTGGGCGGAGCCACAGTCAGCAGGCCCTGTGCCCCCAGGAGGCTGCACCCCCGGACCGAGTCCTGGCCAACACGCCTAACATTGCCAGGTGGGTCTGGGGTCCTCACAGCCCTGGAGGACGAGGCTCAAGGGGCCCTGGGGACTGAGGGTGGGCTGGGTGCCCTGCCCCCCGTCTCCTGCCTCCCAGCATCCCCTCTCCCCACAGCGTCCCCTCCCCACAGCGTCCCCTCCCTACAGCGTCCCCTCCCTACAGCGTCCCCTCCCTACAGCGTCCCCTCCCCACAGCGTCCCCTCCCCA